AAGAAAAAGTGGATTATTTAAATAGCTTGGAGTTATTTATTATTCTTTATGAAATAGATTGAAAAATGTGTAGAAAAAGTGGTGTGTGTGTTATGGATATTGATGATAGAAAGAAGATAGTATGACAATTAATAGGTGTTAAGTAAGTGTTATAGTAAGAAGGATTTGAAGGTGTGTGTGTGTATATACTTGTTCATTATGACATGTGACATGTGATGATGAAATGACGTCGTATTGGTTTGAATACTCTGGATATTTTTTACTTCTTCACTTTTCTTTTCTTCTTCGGATGCATATATAGTCTTCTATGCATGTTAGAGTGGCGGAAAAGAATGATAATGTAAAATATTAAAGAATAAAATAATGAAGATGAAGAAGAGAAGAAAATATCTAAAAGAATATAGAAATAGAAGAGAAAACGTTTTAAAAAAAGAAAACTTATTTGATTAAATAGAGAAAAAATTTGTTTATTTTAGTTATTCAGTTTGAAGAAGATATAAAAATTCGAGTAAGAAAGAAGTATAGAAATATATAGTTTTTTTGTAACTAAATTGCAGAGAATATTATGGAACAAAGTTTGTTAGAAACAAACAGAGAAAAACATCAACGCTAATAGAGTATAGAAACTTTTTCAAGTATTCATCTGAGATACTAATGAGGAATGTTTGATGTAAGAATGAATTTGTAAGTACGTAATATTTGTTTTTTTCTTAGAAGATATATATATATGCAATTAGCGTAAAGCTTTCTTTAATAGGCTCATGAATGACTGCTTGCATCGTATTTGACGTAAGATGAATTGATTCAGTATTATTCCTTAAAATGAGATAGTCATTATCAGTAATTTTCAGTGGAAAGAATATATCTTAATTGTCTTCTAAGCTCGTATAACGGAGGATTGTAAAGCTTTTTATGATGAGAGTCAATCTTATAAATATTACCGTTCATATAAGTAAGAACAAACATATGATCTATTTCTGAATAGATATCTCATTGAAATGACAATTTATTTCAGAAGTACTTTTAGTTTTAGAAATAATTATATCTTATATAGCGTACATGTGCGCGTGTAATCGGTGTGATAGAGTAAAAGAATCAATAGAACAAATTTTCTTTATTTGTAATGTATTCAAGAAACTTAGTTACAACGATGTGACTGAATGAGAATTTGTATTACCAGAATCATTAAATGATAAGTATTTGATTTAATGGAATTAATAAGTTAATGTATTTAGTCAATAAAAAAAGATTCATATTTATTTCATTTATTACATTCATAGTCGTACGAAATACTTTTGTTCTTGTGTTGTAATCTCTCTAATGTCAACAGAATTATTGAGGAGTAAAATTATTTTTCATTGTCAAGTTGTCCTTTTCAATTAATAATAAATGAATGTATTATCAAAGTAGTTGATCATTATTTTGATAACATACATATATAATTCACATATCCTACTCACCTTTAACTATTTATATAATAAATCAGAGTGATTATTTATAAATTCTTTTATTTAATAATAAAATGTAATTTTATATTGAAAATAAGAGTAATATTAGTTATTGATTAATTAAGATCCATAAAATAATTGTATAAATATATTTACAAATTTTAGATGAGAATTTTGTAATAATTTTCTTTAGATCATTTTATATCATGTAAGTTTTTGAAATATAAATGAATATGTATATAATAGCGCCCTCTATAGTTGTTATTTATTTGATTGGTGTCTACGTTATACTTCTTTTACTGCATGAAAATAATCAATTCAGTTGATTGAACGAACGAACGAGTGGGAGTAGACGATGAATAAACATTCGATCGGACAATAAAACAATTGTTTTACATAAAATGCGATCATCTCGACCATCATGCTCGAGATTGGTCTAAGAGTGGTAAAAATTTCTTATATTTTCCTTTTTTATTTTTATTAAAAAAATATTTTTTATTAAAAACAAAAATAGGTTCGTGGTCCAGATTGGAAATGGGCTCAACAAGATGATGGAGAAGGCCATGTAGGTACTGTTGTTGAATTAGGTAAACCAGGTAGTAATACATCTCCCGACAAAACTGTTGTTGTTCAATGGGATTCAGGATCTCGAACAAAGTAAATTTGAACTAATATTATTTTTTTTCAAAAACAACTGAAAATTTAATTTATTTAGTTATCGTGTTGGATATCAATCAGCGTATGATTTACGTGTTTATGATAATGCTCCAATTGGTGTTCGACATCCAAATGTTATATGTGATGCATGTCGTTCACATGGAATTATTGGAATGAGATGGAAATGTGCTCGATGTTTTGATTTTGATCTTTGTACACATTGTTATATGGCTTTAGATAAACATGATTTGACTCATCCATTTTTTCGATTCGAAACAGCTACCAATACTCAAGTAAATATTGACAAGATATTTAACAAATATATATCTTATGTTGTTTTATTTAAAAGGGTGTCAAAGTTCCACCTCGAAGTCAAAGTTTAGATACACGTCTTATTGCAAAAGGTATATTTAAAGGTGCTGTTGTTGTACGTGGTGCTGATTGGGATTGGGGTGATCAAGATGGTGGACTTGGTGGTCAAGGAAAAGTTCAAGAAATAAAAGGTTGGGAAAATGAATCTGGACGAAGTGTTGCTGCTGTTGCTTGGTTACATAATCCACATGTTGCTAATGTTTATCGTGTTGGACATAAAGGAAAAGTTGATCTTAAATATGTTCATGAAGCTAAAAATGGACAATATTATAAAACACATTTACCTGTACTTGGTGAACATATTGAACGTCTTGTTCCTCCACTTGAAATTTCACAATTTTCTGTTGGTGATAAAGTTCGTGTTATGTCTGATATTGATCTTGTTAAACAACTTCAAGAAGGTCATGGAGGATGGAATATACGTATGTCTGATGTTTTAGGTAAAGAAGGACATGTTCATCGTGTTACAGAAAGAGGTGATGTACGTGTACAATTTCATATTGGTGATGATAATAATCAAGATCAATCATCAACATCAGTAACACAACAAAATCGTTGGACATTTCATCCAGGTGCATTAAGTAAAATTCATTCATTTACAACTGGTGATCAAGTTATTATTTGTGCTGATGAACAACGTTTAAGACAAGCACAAAAAGGACATGGAGAATGGTCACATGAAATGATTAGTGTACTTGGAAAACAAGGAAGAGTTTTACAAGTTTATGGTGATGGAGATATTCGTGTTAGTGTTAATGGTCAATCATTTACATTTAATCCACAATGTTGTGTACCATTAACAACAACATCATCATCAAGTTTATTAAATTCAACAAGTCATAATACACTTCAAGCATATCAAGCACAACAACAAATGGAATATGCTTCAAGTGTTGATTGGAGTTTACAAGGTGGTTCATCCATTGGTGGTGGAACAACAAATTCATCATCATGTAAACAAATGCTTATTTATAATACACTTTTAGGACATAATGATGCATTATCATCATCAGCAATTGTTAGAGATGCTGCTCAAGGAAAAATTCAAGCTGTTAGAGATGCATTAAATAAAAATCCTCAACTTGTAAGAAATCAAAAACAATAATAATAATAATTTTATTTTCTATTTTTATTTTAGGTTGAAAGTCGATCAGGTGATAAATCTGCATTGATGTTAGCAGCACATCAAGGTCATATTGATATTGTAAAAATTCTTCTTTCCCATGGAGCAAATTTAGAACAACGTGATGCTGATGGAGATACAGCACTTCATTATGCTTGTTTTGGTAATCAACCTGATTGTATATCACTTTTATTATCCAAAGGTGCTGATATTAATTCAATAAATTCAACTGGTTGTTCATCTCTTCATATTGCAATTAATAAACAATTATTAGAATGTACAAAAAGATTATTAGGACATCAACAACCATCTATTGATGTTAATTTACAAGATATTTATGGAGATACTGCATTACATGATATTGGTATGATTAAATTGATTTTACTGATAAAATAAATATTAGTCTATAGAGAATACGAGTTTAGCGATGAAACTACATACAAATCGAATGAATGAACTTTTATCATAAATCTTAATAGATCGATTATAAGATCTGTATGTGAGTAAATTTATAAGCAAGATTCGATAATATTATTGATGAAATTTTATCTTTACAGACTTTTTTTCATTCTTATTGAACTCGACATATCGATAAAATATCAACTCAAATACTCTTAATCATTTCCGATAGATTGAATTAACTATACGAGTATAAAAGAACTAATCATACTAAAGAATTTCTAATATATTCGAAAAAAATCTTAATCTCTGCTATTCATATTAATATAATTAAATCATTAGTAAAATAATACTAACAAAAAATCTAATTTCTAGCTAATACTCGTGTTTTTGGAAGTTTTACTGGTCTTGATGAATTAACATCGTGCGGAACTCATCCAAATATATTAAATTTAATAAAAGAATTAGAAGAAGCACGTCAACAGACCAGTCTTGTACCAACAGAAGGAACTTCACCTGATCGGTAACTTGTATAATTTATAATTATTTATTTTAAATAAATTTGTTTAGTTCAAATAATGAATGTGTTGATGGTAGAGAATTAATTGATCTTCTTCTTTCTGTATCAAATGTTAATTTTAATTTGAAAAATAAACGTGGTTTTAATGTTCTTCATCATGCAGCCCTTAAAGGAAATGCTTAGTAAGATATTTTCATAAAAGAAACAAAAAAAAAATGTTATTTTATTTTATTTTATAGTGTAACATGGCGTTTAATTGAATTATGTCGTCAATTAGTAGATTCAAAAAAAGACGATGGATTTTCATCACTTCATTTAGCCTGTTTAAATGGTCATTTATTAGTAACATGTTTATTATTACGTTGTGGACATGCAACCGTTGAAATTTGTAATAGTCGTAAACAAACTCCACTTCATTTAGCTGTTGCACAAGGACATTCATCTATTGTTATTTTATTAGTACGTGATCATCGTGCATCAACAAAAGTTTTAGATGAAGATGGTGATACACCACTTCATTTAATTTTATCAAAAAGTCAACAATCTGATGAATCATGTTTAACATTACTTGCATCAGATTTAATTCCTCAAATGCCAGTTGATTATCGTCAAACTCCAAATATTGTTTTAGCTGCATTTTTAATTAAATGTGATGCACCATTATTAGTTAAAAATCGTCAAAATAAATTACCACTTGATTATGTTAGTGATCAAAAATTAAAAGAATATTTTATTCTTCTTAATCGTTCAACTATTATTAAACAAGTTATGCCAAATACATCGGCTTTATCACCATGTATTATATGTGATGAATGTCCAGCTGATATTCTTTTTGAACCATGTAAACATAAAATATCTTGTAAAGATTGTTGTATCAAAATGAAACGATGCATTTTATGTCAACTTAATATTGATGCTAAATATACTCATGGTAAGAATTTAACTACTTTCAGACTTTGAAAGTTCATATCTAACAACTGTGAGCAGATAGAAACGATATTACAGATTCAGATTTTGAGAAATATGATTATCAATCTAGAAAAATTTTGTTTTAAAATATTATAAAAATAATTCTAATTTTGTTTAGATGGTCAATTATTGAGTAGTCCTTCAATAAATGCTACTCGTCATATGCATCGATTACCATCAACAACAACAACGAGTAATAATAATTCTGATGGAGAAATAATAAGTAAAGTTGTACGAGACCTTGAAACAAAAGTACAAGAATTAGAAGATGGACAATCATGTTCAATATGTATGGAACGATCACGAAATGTTGCTTTTTTATGTGGTCATACTGCTTGTTCTAATTGTGCACATCCATTAAAAACTTGTCATATATGTCGAAAGGCTATTACAAAAAAAAATTAATCTTTATTCATAAAATTATTTTATTCATTAGTGTTTCATTGTTGTTATTATTGTTGTTATTGTCTACTTCTTAAAGAGAATACATGTCATTTATTTAAATAAATATTTTCAAAATTAAAAAGAACTTTCAGACATTTTTATTATGCTTCTTGTCAAAAATTGCTGTGATTCAATCAATATTATATGCATAGAAATACTTATTTCAATAATAGAAAAACAAGCTTTTAGATAGATTTTAATATATCAGTGATCCTCTCTATTGATAGTAGATATTAATATAAACATATTTGAAAAGACCAGACATCGTTCAATATAATATCTACATAGCGATATGTACAAATACCTACGTCGTTGCATCATGTAACTCAAGCTTATGAATCTATATATGTATATATTTTATCGTATTCGTTATATCTCATCCTCTATATTGCGAGAGATAAATCCTTGACCGATACACACGTCGTCTATTGTTCTATGCTTGTTATTGCGTGACTCACTTTTCTTTTGATTAAGTTTATTAATGCAATAAAACTACGCCCACGTACATTCTATTTATGATTGATCAAGGATAATGAAAAATGCTTTTAATGACAATATAATCAGGTAAATACAACGAGAAGAGATAGACATCAACGAAAAAATGATTGCCAATGAAGGTGAAACTATTAATCGTCGATATTTGTTAAATATTGGTGATGATCCTTCTAAAGTATTAGAACCTATTTGGGGTTATGCACATCTACCACTTGTATCATTAGAAGAAGCTTGTAAACCACTACATAGTATTATTAGTCGTCTTGAACCTCATATATGGGTAGCTTTAGAAAATTCAAAAAATCCTTCTGATAATCTTACTCAAGATGAATCAGCTGCTATTTACTTGTATACAATGGAATGGGACTCGTCCGATGTTAAACCTGTTGGCAGTCTCTATAGACATCTCAATCATGCATTAAAACAAACCGATCGTTCGAATTTGAAACCATGGTTTAAATATCTTAAATTATTGCTTACTGCTTTAGCTAAAATTCCTATTTCTCATCAATCAGTAATTTGGCGTGGTGTTCATAGAGATTATAGTGCCGTTTATATTCCTGGTACTCGTGTCACATGGTGGCCTTTTTCGTCATGTACAACATCATTAAATGTTCTTGAATCTGATTTATATTTGGGAAATGTTGGTAAACGAACTCTTTTTTCAATTGAACCATTGAATGGACGAACAATACGAGCTCATTCACGATTTAAAACTGAAGATGAAATTCTTTTATTACCTGGCACATATCTCGAAGTTGTGTCCTGTTTAAATCCAGCTCCTGATTTGCACATTATTCATCTACGACAAAGTCAACCACCATTTGATTTACTCGAACCACCATTCGAAGGTATTATTTCAATGAATTCATGATTATATCTTTTTTATTTTTATTAATTTAGATGCTGTACTTCTACCACCATCTGTAAATCGTAATGGTTCTAATTTTACAATAGTAAGTGCTATCAAATACATTTTCAAATAATTAATTAACTCGTTATAGAAAACGGATGATGATCTGAATGTTAAATCTCAGTATGTTTTATAACATCAATTTATTGAAGTAGTTTATATTTTATACATAGACCATGGTACAAGAAGAAGAAAATAATATTGAGCTGTGCTATAATTCTAATGCTTATTATCATAGCAATCATATTGGGTGTATTATTAGGTAGTCGAAAAACAAATCATAAGACATTTCCAAGTAAACTATTCAAATTTTAATTTTAATCATCATTGACTACTTTTTATTCGTTAGTTGCTAGTTTGACGACTACAAGACGTTCACCTACTTTCAATGCATCTGCTAGAATAGCTATGGCATGGGAGAGCAACAATTGGAATGTTCGCAATGAGTTAAATACAAATTCTCGTAAGTATATCGTATATATTAATTTTCTGTCTAGATTAATAAATAATAAAAAATTTACATACAGAATCTAGTAATTGGACATCAAATAATGTGATATTATATGCTATTCAAGGTCTCTATATGAGATTAACTCGTGATTCTACTGGTAATTGGTGGTGTTCTGAAGTTGAAACTCAACAAGTTTATTCATTTGGTAGTTTTACTGTTTTTATTAATGCATCCATTGATCAATTTGATCCTAATGTTGTACTTCGTATATTTACGAAAAATACTGTTGATAAAACAAATCAGATTATTATTGAAATAGGTAGTCGAAAGCAAATAATTCCTACTGCATCAAATCTCTGGTACACAGTCTATCCTAATGTTATCAATGGGACAATCAATAGTGAAGATACACGAATGCCAACACTCGGTGGTACTTATACGACTCATCGAATCAACTGGACATCCTCTCTTGTTACTTTCACAGCTGAATATGATCACAATTATTCAGATTTTCCTAGTCGTCGATTCAATCTTTATTCTACAAACTTATCCTGGGCAACATTCGTTCCTAAAGTACCAGCTCCTATTTGTATCAGCTTATGTACATACAATGGAAGTGCTCCAATTAATGGTAAAGAAGTTGAAATTAATATACGACGAGTTTTTTGGAATAAACTCTGAAGTGTATACATATATTGTTATATAAAAATATATTTTATTTTATGGAAGTATTTTGCTACTTTGATTCTCTCATATATCTTCATAACGTTAATATGCTATCGTACAGATTCAAATATAAAGATTTTTTTTCTTATATTCTATTAGAAGATTATGAAAAGTCTTATAATACTTATCATTAAATAAACAATAGAGTTATTTTTCTAGGATATATGGCTAAAAGATAATTTATATGTTTAAATTATATAGATAGAACTTTTTCATTGATAATGAAGTAATTCAAAAAGAAGATTATGTAAAGCTTACTTTTATATTTTAATAATTTATTATATGATTGAATTCATATCAAACTATGTAAATGAAAAAAATATTGTATATAATAAAGTTATTCCAGACAAAGAAACATAAATATATTGAGCATGATACAATCTGTAAATATATATTAATTTAAGAAAATAGATGGAAGATAGTAGCCCTATAGCTTGTATCAGAACTCAAGGCTCTTTACAAAAGACTTTAACAGATAATTATAAATGATCGCTTTGCACTCTAGTTCTATGTAGTCATAAAGGTAAGAAGAAATGATAAAGAACAGCAACATCTATCGACTCGATTTTATATTTTCTCTTTTATCCGACAATGACTCATTTGTAGTTGATATAAGTTGCGCAACCAGACTTGCATACGTGGCCCTTTTAAATACATATATCTGAGAAAAACTTTTCGAGATCGTTTATATTCTCTTTAAAAAACACTTTCAACCAGTAGACGACACATGACTTCGATTACAGCATTTCCAGATTCCGATGGCTACACAAAATCATTTTCTATTGAAGAAATAGCTGATCTATCGGATTTCTTCGAAAAGTATGGATTTGTTGTTGTACGAAATATGATCGATTCCGAAGCACAAATAGACGACACAATTGATGAAATCTGGAGTTTACTTCGAGTTCTTAATCCAAAAATTGATAAAAATGATAGTTCAACATGGGATAACAAATATTGGCCTATTTATATGGGTCTCAAAGATGGTTAGTATACTCATCGATAAATTCTAAATATTCATATTCAATCTTTTTCAATAAACGAAAGGTGGTTTCATATCACATATGGCTGATGTAGCAACAAAAATGTGTTGGGAAAACAGACAAAATCCTAATGTTGTCAAATTGTTTCAAACGCTACTTAAACAAAACGATCTCTGGGTAAAATTTGATCGTTATGGAATGATGAGACCTACGAAAGGTATTACTTTTAAAAATAACAACGATGACGGATCTGTTGTAATTGAAGATAGACCAGACTGGCGATCAAAACCTAATTGGTGAGAAAGAATACAATCTATATTAGATAACAGATTCTGAGATATTTTTACAGTGCATCATTTCAGATACTCAGAAAAGAATAAATTTTCTATTTCTTACAAAAACTTTGAGTAAATCGTTGATCTTTTGTTTTCAAACATACTACAATTTTAAATGACAAGTTTTTCACTTCTTTCTCTTTAACAGGTTACATTGGGATCAGGTAAATATGAGCACATTTCTTTAAATTTCTATAGAGATATCTTTTTCAACAATAATTATTTAATTGATTTCCAAAGAATCCTTGGAAATATCCAGACTTTATGGGTGTACAAGGTCTTCTTGCATTAAGTGATACAAATCCAAATACCGGTGGTATATTCTTTGATAATCAGATAAACAATCATTATCTTTGTTTATGTCATTCCATTGAAAATAGGATTTCATTGTGTTCCTGGATTCACTCATCATTTCAAACAATGGTCAATTGATAATGAAAAAGAACATAGATCTCGTGGTGGCCTGATTAATGTTCCCGAAGATGATCCTATACGAAATGAAGTCAAACAAATTCATGTTCGAAAAGGTTCATTCGTTGTATGGGATTCACGATTGCCTCATGGTAAACATATTACGTTTTTATAAATTTTCCATAAAACAAAATTTAATTAGGAAATTTTCCAAATCAAAACGATCAATTTCGAATTGTTCAATATATTGCATTTGAACCAGCAAAAGAAGATGATAAAAATGAAGTGACAAATCGAATTGATGTTGTTGATATGCGTAGATCGAGTCCTACAGCTGATGAACAACTTGCAGGATTTCCAGAACCAGAACTAACAGAACTTGGTGAGAAGATTATTGGACTTAGAAGTTGGAAAACAAATGAAAAAGTAGACAATATTTCCGAATAGTTGTCACAATTTTATAAATTAAATATTTTATATCAAATCAGAAAGAAAGAAATAGATTAAAGTTTATCAGTTTTGTCCGTTGTCTTTGATCATATAATTAGAGTATGTGAAGACAATGATGACGTTCATAATAATACATTCACTCGAAATCATTGAAATCATAACAATAAGAAACGATAACATAAATACAAAAAGACAAATTATCAAGGTCCACTAGTTAATGTATTGACGATCGAAGAAAATTTTTTCTTTACCGTTGTAGGGATAACTTTTGACCAAAATGAATTGCAGATGCATAAAGATTGAGTGCTTAATGATGGACTCGAATTCTAATTTCATTTGCTTCAATTAATTCTCCATCATACGCCCGATTACCTAATTCTTTTTTTCACGAACTATTAGATGGATATAACAACTTTGGTAGCTCGATATTGTTCAATATTATATAATTCGTCAATTGCTTGGATGATTCCCAAGAACTACATCAAATGATTCATCAGTTTAAAAAAAAAAGAAAACGTTTCTATTTTTATTCTACTTCTAGCCTATATC